TGCCTGCTGCAGGCCAGGCTGCAGGTGGCCCACGGGGACCCGGGGACACGCTGCCTCTGAGATACTGTTGTGTGTGTCTGTTCCCTATAACTAGATAACACCATTGTTAACTGTTTTTTTTTTTTTTAATATATTTTTATTGACTTCAGAGAGGAAGGGAGAGGGAGATAGAAACATCAATGATGAAAGAGAATCGAGCCCGAAACCCGGGCATGTATGTGCCCTTGACTGGAATCGAACCCAGGACCCTTAGGTCTGCAGGCTGGCGCTCTATCCACTGAGCCAAACCAGCTAGAGCCATTGTTGACTGTTGGTCTAGTTATCCTGGGTGCTGGGTTGTAGTGAGGAACAAAGCAGCTGAGGGCTGGTCTCTGGGGGATGTCCTGGTGACTTGTCCTGTGTCGACATGACATAACTATGAACGTGACGTCACCTGTAATGCAATAGCCGATGGGTTGGGCATGCCTATGTGCCAGGCACATCTGAAACACTGTAGGCAGACCTGCCAGTTCACTGCTTCCAGATATCCGCACCAGTGAGCTCCAGCCCGCCCACCGCCATTGGCCAAATCCAGCCCCTTGACCGTTTCATTAGCATATAGCCACACCCACTCATTTGCATACCACCTGTGACTGCTTTCCCCCCACACCTGGAGTGGGGTGGTTGCAGCTGGGCCTCGCTGGCCTGCAGAGCTGACCAGATCACCTTTGCAGAAGGTTTGCCGGGCTCCTGGGCAGGTAGAATTGGACCAGAGGGTTCCTATAAGTGCTCGCCAAGGGTAAGTGACACCAGGTGCGGGTGCAGCGCTTCTGGCGGGGGATGAGGCAGAGCGAGAAGGGCGAGCACGTGGTAGGTCAGTAGGCCATTAACCACCCTGATGGCAACATGGAAAGCTGAGGCCATTCTCTGTATCAGTCATTGTCACTGGCTGGGTATGGACTATGGGGCAGGAACCGTGTTCGGGCCTCGATGTAGGCCGTCACATTTCATTGAATCGTGGGTGTTGTTCCTTCTAAAATACAGATGGAGAAATTGTGGGATGAATTAATTGTAATGAATTAAGGGTAATGACTGCTATTACACCTTTATGGGGTGTTTTTTTGTTTTGTTTTGTTTGAATATATTTTATTGATTTTTTACAGAGAGGAAGGGAGAGGGATAGAGAGTTAGAAACATCAAT